AGTTTATTTAAGAAATGAAGTATTTCTATAGTGAGCAAGCAGTGGCAATAAGTAGCTCAGCTATTTATTTGTATATTCGATAATTGAATAATTTATTTGGCAATTAGGTAACGGCAATCAGTTAATCAGCTTAATATTTATTCATTTTATAAATTCATTATCTCAATAGCTAACAAGGAACGGCAATAAGTAGCTCAGCTATTTATTAGTTCATACAACAAATCAATTTTTACTTTGCTGAGAGAGTAACGGCAAAAAGTTGCATAGCTGTTTTTCAGTTCCCATCATGGACAATCTATGCTATTCATCAGTTTATTTAATAAAGAAGTTGTTTTTATGATGATTAAGTGACAGCAAAGATTACCTCACTTTTTTATTAGTTCATCAATTAAATAAGTTAATTGTTTTTGAGCATGCGTTGGCATTAAGTCAATCACCCACTTTTCATTCTATTTAAAAAAATTTAACTGTTTTTCCTTGGATCGGTGGTAATCGTGCTCGTTATGGATTTAATGCTGTTCTAGGGGTCTTGGGTTCAATTTCCTATGAGTACAGATTTTTGGAGTAACTTTTTTGACTGGAAAAAGTTTCTATGAATTTCGGTCTGTTTTAGGGAAGGTTTTATCGTAAAATTTTATGTCAAAATAATTTTCTTGTTGAGTTTTTTCCTTGTTGAACAGGTCTTCGATCCTGGGTGAATGCGAAACAGTATTAGTGATACAGGTAGAGATTAGCCTGGATCCGATGCTTAGACTGTCGCGGTACTTAACCAGGTAAAACATAAAAAAAAGAAAAATTAATTATATCTTTGGCAAAGCAAGTATCAGCAAGCACAATCTAATCGATTCTCAGTATTGTGAAAAACAAAGTGCTGTAGGCAATCAAACATTGCTGCTAAACAACACAACAGTTTTGATATATCATTTATAGATAAAATAGTAACATAGGCACATACTCGCAAAAGAAATAATTTAGGTATTGAATGAAAGACAAAAAGCGAAACTGTTCATTGCTGTCAGTTTCTCGCCAAAAAAATATCTTATTAATCGAACAAACTAATAAATAGCCGAGCTGCTCATTGTCGCCACTTGCTCACAAAAAAAAAAATTTATCCATTCAACAAACGAAAAGTAAGTTAAGCTACTAGTTGCTGACAGTTGCTCATCAAATAAATAATCCATTTATCAAATAATGTAATAAAAATCTGAGCTACTTACTGCTACCACTTGCTCGCCGAGGAGAAGCTGCTTCCTGATGTAAATATAGTTTAGAAAAACGCACGGGCCTCATTGTCATCAAAAATTTAAATACGGAGGAAAAATAGCCTCCGGGTCCTATGCTGCGCTGCTGCGCATGCATATGCGTTGACTCTTCCGCGCCATATTGAATTTCTTATCCCCTCCAGTGGCCCATATTACATCCCAATAGGCGCTGCAGCTGTGGGTGCGAGTGAGAAAGAGCTAGCTTGCGCCGACGCAGAATATAATTCTCGGGGCTAGCGCTAGCTGTTGCTTCCTGCGCGAGCGGCCTGTTTAGACCAAGAGCTGAGCTGAGGCCGAAGAGTGGTCAAAATTTTAGCCAGCCACCACTTACCAGAATTGAGGAACCTGATGATTCGTGGAGATCCGAAATATTTCGGTCATATTTCATAGTGGTGAAGAGTTATGTGGTAATTATAGTAGTGCCGTATAGTTTTTTTTATTAACTTGCCGCAACTTACACCAATGGATAGAAAATAAAAAGTTGTTAAGTAGGATTGCCATTTGCGGCAAGATTAGAATGTATCTTGTCAGAGTTGGCACGGTGCATCAACCCGATCAAATCAGAGGTCGCGCGGTGCGGCGACACCTAATAAGCCATGATCACAGCTGACAGCAAAAAGTGCTTTTGCAATCACCTACCGGCTGCTGTGCTTCGGCCGATCTCTCTCTCTTGTACTGATCCTCAAGCTACTCGGTTGTCTCTAAAAGTTTTCTTTCTTTCTTCACGTGCAACAGTTCATCAACTTTCCGTTTTAGTTTACTTTGTTTTCATAAAAGTCTTTATTAAATTGTATTTACTAATAATAAGTTAGATAGAAAGCTAGAATTAAACGGTTTGTATAAGCTAGAGAAAGCTAGTAAATAAAAGGTGTTGATATAATTAAATAGCGTTGAGTGTTTTTATTAATAAGGAGCCCGCATCTTCCCTCGCGGCTTATATAGAGAAAAATAAAATTCTAGCATATCTTGTACCCGAAAATCGACCTTCAAAAATATGGACTCCCTACCTGATATTATCTAGAATACTCATCTAAGATCATAGATGAGGCATTGTAGATAACATTGTAGATAAGAATACAATATCCATATTTTTGGAGGTCGAATTTCGGGTACAAAATGCATTTTAATCTTGCCGCAAAGGGCAATTCCAGTCAACAACTTTTCATTTTCTATCCATTGATGTAAGTTGCGGCTAGTCAATAAAAAAAACCATACGGCACCACTATAATTACTACATAACTCTTCACCACTATGAAATATGACCAAAATATTTCGGTTCCCCACGAATCATAGGAGCTATTCACGTAGACATTTTTTGCTTCTTTCATTGTGAACGTTCATATTGAAAAGGGGGTTCCACTGTTCCGCTAAACTTAAATTGAGTGAACAGACTGAACATACCTGTACTGTGTTCTCTGTCAGTCAACATAGTTGCGACCATAGGCCAGGGTTGTTAATAAAAGTTGCTTTTTAGAATTAGAAGTTTTGAAAGTTTTAAAACTTTTAAAAGTTCTGTTTTGTTTGCTACAATCCAAATAGCTATAGCTACAAGGCATAGGGTCTATAGTGTCTAGAGGTAATGCGTGTTGTGCTCTCCTACTATAACTGGTGTACGAACCCTTATTCTTTTTTGTCAATCAGTTGATGCCAGGGATCTCAGAAGTGATAGAATAACTTGGCGGGAAATTCAAATGGACTATATGGGGCATGACGCAGAAACCCAGATAACACTTTTATGCATAATAAATTAATGAAATAAACCCAAGCTATTCAACCCAATGACCCGGGGTGACTACTAGCAAACATCTCAAACAATAAATTGTTAAATTTAATAACAAAAGCGCCTTTCACCCAATGACCCGGGGCGCTTACTGGCAAATAGATTAAATAATTAATTGCTAAATTTAATAACAAAAGCGCCTTTCACCCAATGACCCGGGATGACTACTGTCAAATATATTGAATAATGATTTGTGAAATTTAATAACACATGCTCCTATCACCCAATGACCTAAATAGCTTACTGGAAAATCAGTAAAATAATAAATTATTAATCAACAATACAATTTCATAAAATTTACAATTTATTAATTACCCAGTGGCCAGTAAGCGCCTAAGGTCATCAGGTAATAAACACTTGTGTTTTACAATTAATCATTAAAAACCATTTGCCAGTAAGTGCCCTCGGTCATTGAGTAAAAGGCGCTTTTGTTATTTAATTAAGCAATTAATTATTAAATACATTTGCCAGTGAGCGCCCCGGGTCATTGGGTTAAAGGCGCTTTTGTTAATAAATTTATTAATTCATTATTCAATACAATCGTGAGTATGCGCCCCGGGTCATTGGGTAAANTTCTGCGTCATGCCCCATATAGTCCATTTGAATTTTCCGCCAAGTTATTCTATCACTTCTGAGATCCCTGGCATCAACTGATTGACAAAAAAGAATAAGGGTTCGTACACTAGTTACAGTAGGAGAGCACAACACGCATTACCTCTATACACTATAGACCCTATGCCTTGTAGCTATAGCTATATGGAATGTAGCAAACAAAACAGAACTTTTAAAAGTTTTGAAACTTTCAAAACTTCAAATTCTAAAAAGCAACTTTTATTAACAACCCTGCCATAGGCTTTGTTGCCTGATGGAAAAAGAGGTATAGGTCTGTTCAGTCTTTTCACTCACTTTAAGTTTAGCGGAACAGTGTAACCCCCTTTTTAATATGAACGTTCACAATGAAATAAGCAAAAAATGTCTATGTGAATAGCTCCATAAGGTTCCTTAATTCTGGTGAGAGTGGCGGCTAAAAAATTATTTCAAATACTATGAAAAAAATATTGAAGTCTGGAAGGAAATAATTAANATAAATGAAAACGAATTTATTAGTACCATCGTCGTGCAGTTCATCATAAAATAATTGTTGAGCTGTAAGCGGGTTGAAATAATACAAAACTTTCCCTATCTTTAATATTGTTGGCATAACTTGAAGCGCATTCCTTTTTTTTTTTTTTTTTTTTATTTGTGGCGACAGGTTGCGTACGGGCCAGGGTGTTGCTGTTTAAAATAATTAAAATAAAATAATAATAACATGGAAGGCGGGCATTTCGTATTTTAAATCAAAATAACCGCGCATCGTTTTCCCGGATTTGCGGGACGTCCATCCGCCTCCTTGTAATCGCACCCTTACACAGTGACGCTCCATATTGGCTACTTCCGCAGCCATGTAATCGCGGCCTAAGCAATCAAGAACAGTCGTTAAGTCATTGATTTTTATTGGTAGTATTTGCATAAAGGATATGTACGATAATTATTGGGAGGTACTTATAGAGTTTTACATAGGGAAGAAAAAGGAATTTCGTTATTTGAGTAAGCGCACTCATTGTCTGTGCAGCCGAGTTTTAGTTAGAAATGCCGAGACGGCAGTTGATACAAATGAGGTATTCCAAGGTATTGATATTAAATCGCAAAGTCAATTCAATAGTATTGACTGTGCATTTATTCAGTTAATCAATTATCGTTTGGTAAAGAAAATAAAAAATTTTGAGTTTAACAAGTGCTTCATCAAATGTTCTCCTCGAATTTTGAAGAAAAATGTTTACATTTACGAACTTAACTTAAGTGTATTACTCTATGCAGTGCACGACAAAACCAAAGGTGTATCATGGTATATAAAAATTGACGAAAAAAATATACTCTTTGACAACAGACGTGATAATTATTTAAGAGCACCGCCACTGTTGATTTCCCTTAAATTGTTGTGCAAAGTGATAGAACACCACGTTTTACAGGATAAACTTTTTATTCATGCATTTTTCGATGATTTATCAGAAAATCACACAATTATACAATACAATTTGCTATCGCATAATTACTTAAAATCTATTTTTAATTACGATGTAACAAATAACTATCAAATTTTTAGTGGTTACAAAGTCAGTAATTATTTACTTCATGAATGTGTATTTCAGTTTAATTGGGAAAATTTTTGGCTTTACAATGCAGACTATATTGTATGGTTATCTTGGATTTTAAAGTACAAAAGCTACATTAATACCGATTATCTAAATCAACTCTACAATTTAATAGATCATATTCAGTATAGTCAGGAATCATCAAAAACAATTAAAAGTGCTTTAGAAAAACAACTGCAAAGTTTAAAAAAACAAAATTCAAAATATAAATGCAACAAATCAGTTGAGTCTATTAATCTATTTGTTACACATGAAAGTAGTGACAATGATTATATAAATCTTGAAGATGCAGAAAAAAATATTTCACCAGAATCAGATAATTATTTTATCCCTAATTTTTTGGATGATGAAAATGTGTGGCAGTGTTTGTGGCTAAGTCACTATCAAGAACAGTACACTATTTGCAATATTCTTTTTAAAGAATACTGTATAAATCAAATAAATTTACTGCAAAAAGTATGTTTATTAGCAAGTTACAATTTATTAAGCATAAATAACTTTCAGAGTAAAACAAACAAGAATGAAATGATCAATTCCGTAGATTCTCTGTTAAAAAATATTAGAAAAACGTTTGAATCAAAAATAATTCTAAAAAAGTCGTTGAAAAAAACGTTACCTAATGAATCTTCAGGAAATCACACTTTCCATAATGATGTGGTCAACGAAATCTTCATCACAAATATAGATCAAGTACAGAAAGCTTTAAGATCAATTGGTTTTGCATACAAAAGTAACAACGATTGTCAGCTACAAGGAGAAGTCACTTACAAAAAGAAAAATATTAAATTTCTCAACAAATTATTACGAGTTAACAGGCCATTTAAAATGGTTCATTTCACCAACAACCAGCAAGAAAAATTGTCAGAGTTGAATGGAAGCGTGACATCTTTAGTTAGTAACTGTTGTGTTCTAAATGAATATTCTAAAGCAAAACTTATAAAAACCAATCATTCAGATGTTGTGTCTGACATGGAGAACAAAAATAACAAAAGTCATGTTCCTGAATTGCAAGAAAAACAAACTGATCAATCAAATACAGCTATAGAATCATACAATGGGGCCAAAAAAACAATCAAAAAGCGCAACAAAAGTAAAAACGAAAAATGGTGTAACTTACCTGATTATGTACAGAAAAATCCAAGTCTTAAAAAATACTATGCAAAAAGGTATAGATTATTTAGTAAATTTGATGATGGAATAGTTCTAGATAACGAAAGCTGGTTTTCGGTCACTCCGGAAAAAATAGCCAAGTATATAGCAGAAAGATGTAGATCAGATTTAATAGTAGATGCTTTCTGTGGGGCTGGAGGTAATTCAATTCAGTTTGCATTTACTTGTGAAAGAGTGTATGCAATAGATATTCATCCTCAAAAGATAGCAATAGCTCGTCACAATGCTCAAATATATGGTGTTGCAGACAGAATAGAATTCATTATTGGCGATTTTTTTTGTCTTGCTGATAGGTTACTGGCTGATGTCGTGTTCCTGAGCCCCCCCTGGGGTGGGCCATCCTACATTCAAGACAAAAGCTATGACATTGAAAATATAATGCAACCAAAAGGTGGAATTAAATTATTACAAACAGCAAAGAAAATATCAGATAATGTTGCTTACTATCTGCCCAAAAATATCGATACCTTGCAATTGGCTATGGCAGCTGGTGAAGGATCCCAAGTAGAACTTGAGCAAAACTTTTTGGGTACACAGTTAGTTGCAGTGACAGCTTACTTTGGTGATTTGTGAAAAGACTAAAAGTAGTAATCAACTTGTATTTGTATTTCTGTGGTTATCAGACATAATTGATAAAATGTTGTGATTGTATAAATTTCTCTACATATTCACAAATGGAAACTACAAATAATAAATTTCGCATCTGTTTTTTTGGAAGTCTTTCTTAGGATCCGAACAACGCCGACAGCACCAATAGCACATACCTATAACTTAATATAAGGTGGCTGTTTTTTGAAGCCTCGATATGACGAGGCTAGCCAATGTATTGCATTACTCCCACCGCGGCCGTTGTTCGGATCCCAATACTTAAAAATTTTTTTACCTCTAACTGTATGATGAGTTTTAATGGCGCATACATAAAAATATTTTTTGTTTTTAAGGCATGTTTTCTGCATGTAAGCATTATCACAATGAATAAATTGAGCAATTTGAGGCAGACGTAAGTACTAGTTATTGGCAGCTTAGTATTGACTACGAGCACATCTCAGATAGTGCCACCAATGCCGGAATACTTATGTACCTATGTTGGCTAACAACTTTTTTATGGACATTTTTCAAGAGGATCTTTTTTTTGTTTTGGCTGCAGTTCGCTAAAAGTTTGATACCGATTAAGCTGAAATTTTGTGTGTACGATAAAAATGATATCTGTCTTGTAGTAAAATTTCAGCTCCAAATATTGTATAGAATGCGAGGTATTGAATTTCGAAAAAATGGCTCAAAATGTCAGTTTTTGCGATTTGCGAGAAAATAGCTAAACTGATCTGAACCCAACGAGGCTTACTTTGTTCGTCTTTAAAATGCACAAATTTTTCAAGGAACACTTTTTCATGTACGATACTTCGGTTTTCTTCTAGACGCGAAAAACATGTTTTGGTCATTTTTGCCATTTTTTTTGAGCTCTTGCTGACATTTCTACTTGTTAAATTCCATTCCAATTTATTATAATACATTGAAACTACTACCTTATTTTTTTTCGAGCTGGTCAGAATTTCGGGGATATCGTTATGATTTTTCGCTAATTCTACCATACTAGGTACCAAATTTTCCAGAATGAAAGTGTTGGATCTTATGGGAATCATTCTATTTTTATCTACTACAATTCTATTTTCATGTCGTTATTTACGGAATTAGAACTTCTTACACGATATTGGTATTACTTTATCGAATTCAAATTATTTTTGAGTGATTACTACACTCTCTTAGTTACATAGTCGAAATTAAATCTACTCTAGCCAGGCAAGGTTAGTCAGCTCATCGGATGTAACATACGGATGCGATACGTGTTGTTAATCTGAAGAGCCCCATGACCCTTGATTTCTCGTTCTTCTGCTGATTTGTTTTCTTTTGAATGATTTTTTTCGATTAACTATTCCAATATCTTGTACTAAGTACCACTTTCATAAAGTGCCACATGAAAATAGAATAGTAGTTAATTAAAATAGAACCTTTTCCATAAGGTCCAATGCTTTCATGCTGAAAAATTTGGTACTGAATTCCAGCATTGGCGGTACTACCTGAGACGTGCTCTTAGTCAAAATACAACGGTGTACCGTGTGAACCCTAAATTGCATCTTTATATACTATAGTTAGCGTTTTTTTGATTGAATAATATCTTCATAATTATAAAACATCCATTAGATACTCATATTCAAGAATTAATAATAAATGTTTGGAAAAAATAATGCATACACAATGCACTAGTTACTGGCCTAGCAAAACGCAGATGCTTGTATCTTGTGAGGTGAGTACGTAGCTATAATATTTTTCACTAAATTTCAAAAAAGAATTGTTTTCTCTATCGTTGTAGTGAAGTGAGAGGTTTGTAAGAAGGTATAACAAAAAAAAAGTTTTAATTTTATTAATGAAACTTTTAAATCTATAACTTTTTAAAACAATTTAAAAATTTCGAACATCAAATGCAAATAAAATTCGTAAAACTAACAACAACGAAGACTTATATTCATAAATATATTGCTCAGTTAGTAATAATTACAGTTGTTGAAACATATACTATTCTTACCAACGAGTCAAAAAAAGAAGTATGAAAAATAAACATGAAAAGGGTCATGTTTTTCCAGGTTTAACAATTTTAAATAATTTACTATTTGACATGAACATTATTGATTTATGTCTACTTATTTGCAATGCTTATTTCATAATCCTCATTTTTTCATCAGTATTTACAGTAATCGCAATTCGTCTTGTGAAGTGCACTTATCGCCACGTAGTCATTATTAAGATAAGTTTAGATCATAGTGTTCAGGACGTCCGGGAGTAATAATAAAATGCAGAAATCACAATGACATTGAATTTTCTAAATAGTCTGAAATACAAAAAACTTACATCAAAATTTTGTCAGTAGTTATAATTCATTTTTTAAAGAATTGTACAAACAAAAATAATGTGATAAACATGAGCTCTTATGGAACGGAACCTCAATTTTGACATTTACGATGACAACAATTTTTGAAAAACGCAAAGATATTAAAAAAAATCTACCTACAAATTAATTACTGTTTAATAATTCAGTGAGCAAAATTTAAAGGCATATTACAGTGACTTGCCTACCTTCAAACATCAGCTGAAACCTTAGCTAAGATCTCACCTGAGAATTTTTGAAAAAAGGTCTCACAGAGACTAGTTATTTTTTTCTTTCTAATAATTTCCAGTCGTTTGGTACACTAAAGTAGGGAACAAATTTTTTCATATTTTTCACTCATTTTACATCAGGACTTACAAAATTTTTAAAAAATAATTTTTTAAAGAAAATTTTTTTTTTGTCACGAATAATGACACCTTTTCCGTTACCTTAATATTAACATAGGTTTCAGCAAAACCTATTCATCAGATACGAAGCTATAAGTGACATTTTTGTGGGTCTTATATGGAAACCACTACAGAATGGTTAAGTTTTATTTGACAATTACCAATATGAAAGTCACAAAGAAGTGCTTGAGGAATTAAGTATAATAAGCTATGTACGACACTACAATACATTAAGCTGCGCCACATTTTTTATTAAAAATGGCTACGACCACAATACACGCGCTTCTATGTGGATAATAATGTGCATCATAAAAGGGTTTTACGAGGTATAATACGAAGGTAAGTGAGATTCACAAGATAAGTAGTGTTATAAGAATTTGATCAGGAGTAAGTCAAATGTACCTGTTTAAATGTAAAATAATTATTTACACAACAATTATTAGTAAGCATATGTGGGTGTAATATAATTTACACACATACACACGCAAATAATGAATAACTCTGCTAAAATAATCGAGTGAAGTTCGATTAATGTTAATTATTAGTGAGCTAAAAATATGTCAGGTATTGTCAAGGAATATTAATCGATTGGAAGTGTTGTGGGGCTTCAAATTATACTTAAATGTAATACTTAATTAACAAAATTATTTTTTGTTTATTTTAAAATAAAA